CTTGTGGGGCCCATCAAATTGTGGGGCCCTGTGCTCTTGCTCCACTTACACATAGAGTATTAAATATTTGAATAGAGAATATTATTAGAAACTTATTTTTATTTAAGAGACATGATTAAAAAATAGTATTTAAATAATATAAATATTGAAAAGCTAAAAGTAGGGGTGGGCACGGATCGGATATCCGGGATTTTTGAGATATCCGTATCCGTATCCGATCCGCACAAATATTCGATTTTGTTATCCGTATCCGATTCGTAAATTTCGGATATCCGCAACTTCGGATATTCGTTAAAATCACGGATATTTGCGGATATCCGTATTCGACCTAAAATATTATAAAATTTTAAATTTAAATTAAATAACAAATTTAAACGTAAATAAAATATATAATATATTTAATATAAATAATATTCAATAATTTAAAATTCATAATTTAAACATTCCAAATCAACTAAAATACAAATACAATTATAATGTATCACATACAAATATATCCAAATTTCAAAATTCAAAACATTAAACGTAATAAATCTTAATATTTAAAAATTAAAATTATAAAACTCAATATATAAATTTTTTTTCTTGAATCACGCTAAAAAAACATGTAAATATAAATATTTTAAATATCCATACCAAATTATTCGTATATTTAATAATATTATTACAAAATACGGATCGGATCGGATATTCCGGATAATTCAATTTTAATATCCGTATCCGATCCGTATCCGACAAATATCTCCAAATAAATATCCGTATCCGATCCGTACACTCCGGATATCCGAATTTTCGGTTCGGATACGAATCGAATAACGGATCGGTTCGGATTTTTCGGATATTTTGCCCACCCCTATCTCTAATGTTTCACAAGCTCTCAATGTTAGATTATAAATTATAAATCTTCAATCCTAATTTTTAAATTCTAAATCGTAATATCTAAACTCTAAAACTTTAACATCTAAATTCTAGAGTTTATGGATAAATCAAGAACTGTAAAATAAAATGAGGGAAAAAAAATAAAAAAATGGCTCAATGGTTAGAATGTATTAAGAACAAAATCTTAAGAAGATATATGACTCGTATATACATGGCCTTTCATATATGTATGATATGCACTCGTATATCTTAGTTTTTGTCTGTAATATCCGAATTTGCATTCATGCATGCGAGTGTGAAGGGTAGTTTGGGTAAATCACTAGTTGCTGTGTCTTGCGTAAACCCTAAAATCGATAAGTACGGGAAAAAAAACTGAAAAGAGAAAAAAATAAAGATCAAGCGTGTGGGGCCCGCAGACAGTACACCGCGAGCTCGTGCCGTCTTCAGATGCCACGTGGACCAGACAAAACTAACAGACAAATTGCATGAAAGGACCCCCAACTTGTTCCTAGATTATTGTTTATGCCTGTCACTTTACTTTATCGATAAAAAAATTTTACAAAACACTTTTATTTGATTTCTGACAAAAAGAGCCGTATGAATCTGAGCTTCCAAATATTTTCAAATTATACTTGCATGGAAAAATAAAATTTTTAGTTCGATGATATTTTTCTAATGGATGTGTGAGAAGTTTGTTTAACTTGATTAATGATCGAATAATATATATATATATATATATATATATATTTTATCTGCTACCATTTGTTGGAATTATGTTTCATATTTTTAATTAGTTTCACTGTATATATATATATGAACGTATATATTTCCTACATTGACAAAAAAAATATCACGTCCTTTGGAGCAAATAGAGTTGTAAAAACTAATTAAAGTGAAATATTGGGTTTCAATCTGATTTAAGTAGAAGTAGAAGGGTTTCTCAGACAATTTCGTCCAAAAGAAAAATAAAAGAGAAAAAATAACTGCGTCCTCCACCTCCTTCTGTGATGACGTGTAACCTCATATAAAAAGGGCCCTACGTTTTCTTCCCATCCTAATCCATCCCTCCAGCCGGTCGCGGACTCGGGCTCTGTGTCTGGAATCGGCGACCTGAAATCTCGGGGGCTGAGTGGTGATCGTCATCTGCCTCGTTCGTGGCTCCGACGTGAAACCTTCCGCAGGTATTCGGTGCTGGAGATCCGACCACTTCCTGCTCCTGTCTTGGCTCGAGATCCGAGCCAAGCACAGAAGACTTTTTATTCGGGATTCCGATTAGATTTATTCTATTACAGGTATGGGTTTGGTGACTGGTACGGTTTTGGCGATGTTTCTTCGAGTTTCTGATTCTCTCGGTGTGGGAGTCTGTTGTTTGTAGATTCCCGGAATATACACTCATGAATACCCTTTTGATTCAGTATCTGTGGTTTAAGAAGTTGAGATGTCTGATTTTCTGTTCTTTGGTTTCCTGATACTGGGACTGTTTGGTTACTGAGAATGGGACGGAAAGTTATGGAAAATGGGCTTTTGGTTTCCATGTGTGGCTATACTTTTCCGATTCCGGACGAGTTAGCTTTTCTTTAACAGTGCCTTTGGATGCCGAGAACTCGCTATGTCAGGAAACGTGATTATGGATATCTTTGCTTATCATTGGTAGGGATTGCGGAAATAGTGATGTTAAATCTATCATAGCCTTTCTAGTGATAATGAATCCTTGGTTTGCAGAGCACTGAAAGGAAAGTTTCTGAAAACTAATGACTGTAAAATATTTGAAGGTTGTATTCTCTCAAATTGAGAAATGATGAATCATATGATTCCGTGGAGAATGATGTGAATGCTATTTTAGTTCTCATGAATGTATGTATTTCGATGTCTATGTTTTGCATCGTGTGTTGAATTGGACCTCTTTGCATAATGAAGCCAAGGCCATCGGTTCTAGCTTGTGAACATCTAGAATAATATTGTTTCCTCACAGTAGATACTGGCAACTAATTAGTACTTGATGTTGTGGGATTGTTCAAGAGCTCTTTCGTTTGCTTCTTGCAGTTTAAGGATTATTATGGTATCATGATCCGTTGTTGACGAGGTAGTGATGTGTTATGTGTCATTAGATGGCATCGGATGAGGGGTTTTTGACAGATGGACAGCGGAAGAAATTGGAATTGGCAACTCAGAATGCTGAAATCTTGTCTTCATCCCCAAAGTCTCCTCCTCTGATTGCTGATCTCAACGTCAAGTCCCCCACCGGTGGTAAGGGACCTGTAGCTGGGAATGCATTTAGGCATGTTCGGCGGTCACACTCAGGGAAGTATGTGCGTGTAAAGAAGGGTAAGCTTCAATTTCTTGAATGTTTCTATGCTTTATGCTTTGCAAGCCTCTTGTCGGTTAATGTTTTAAAGCATATTTGTTGGGGTTTTCCTTTTTTCTTTGTCCCTTGTTTCATTTTGGCCAGATTGTAATGTCCGCCTCTGAAGTTGGCATGGGATAGCTAAAGGAAAATCGGAGATTAATCATTCATAATGTCGTGAAGAAATTAAAGAAAACCAAAATGAGCATTTAGGCCTATATCTGTATTAGCTTTTTATCCCCTGACATAGATGACTTGCCTTTTTCTGACAATGATAAGTTCTCATTGCAAAAATGCTTGTTAGTATATGAATCGTTTTCTGATGTGACAATAGAGGTAGTGCTACCGATACCCAAATTTATGTGGCTTTTTAATGATATCAACAGATGGTGCTGGTGGGAAGGGAACTTGGGGGAAGCTACTTGACACTGATGGAGAATTCCATATTGATAAAAATGATCCCAACTATGATAGTGGAGAGGTAATTGTTGCTTCTGATCTGTTAAATTTGGCTTCTTGATTGGTTAGAAGTTAGAACTTTGCATTTAACGTATGATGATTCTAATCTGCATGAATAGTTATGGAAATATGTGACTGCGTCTGCTCGATGTAACAGGAACCATATGCACTTATTGGCTCGACAATACTAGACCCGTTGGATGATTACAAAAAGGCTGTAGTTTCCATCATTGAGGAATACTTTAGCACTGGTGATGTGGAAGTGGCAGCATCTGACCTAAGGGAACTTGGTTCAAGTGAATACCATTCTTACTTTGTCAAGCGGCTTGTTTCCATGGCCATGGACAAGCATGATAAGGAGAAGGAAATGGCTTCAGTATTGCTCTCGGGATTGTATGCTGAGGTTGTCATGCCTGATCAAATCAGGGATGGGTTTATCAGACTTCTTGAATCTGTCGATGATCTTGCAGTGGACATACTCGATGCCGTTAATGTCCTTGCCTTGTTCCTTGCCCGGGCGATTGTTGATGATATTATTCCCCCAGCTTTTCTGGCAAGAGCAAGGAAAACTCTTCCAGAATCTTCCAAAGGGTTCCAGGTTATCGTAACCGCAGAAAAGAGCTATCTCTCGGCTCCTCACCATGCCGAACTAGTGGAGAGGAAATGGGGAGGTTGCACTCACATTTCTGTAGAGGAAACGAAGAAAAAGATTTCAGAACTTCTGAAAGAGTATATTGAAAGTGGCGACGCGTATGAAGCGTGTAGATGCATCAGGGATTTGGGCGTCTCTTTTTTCCATCATGAGGTTGTGAAGAGGGCTCTGGTTCTAGCCATGGAGATTCAAACAGCCGAACCGCTCATATTAAAGCTGTTGAAGGAGGCGGCCGAGGAAGGGCTGATCAGTTCGAGTCAAATGATGAAGGGTTTCTCCCGAGTAGCAGAGAGTCTTGATGACCTCGCCCTAGACATCCCGTCCGCCAAAACGTTGTTTGAATCGATAATTCCCAAGGCTATTTCCAGTGGTTGGCTAGACGATTCTTTCACGAAACCCCCTGAAGATGGAGAGGTAAAATTTGAAGACGAAAAGCTGAGAAAGTACAAGAAGGATGTGACTGCCATAATTCAGGAATATTTCCTCTCGGATGACATCCCTGAGCTGATCCGCAGTCTCGGGGATTTAGGAGCACCTGAATACAACCCTGTGTTTCTGAAGAAGCTCGTCATTCTTGCTATGGACAGGAAGAACAGAGAAAAGGAGATGGCCTCTGTTCTCCTCGCCGCCCTTCACATGGAGATCTTCTCGACCGAGGATTTTGTAAGCGGGTTCACCATGCTCCTGGAATCTGCCGAAGACACGGCCTTAGATATCCTGGACGCGTCAAACGAACTTGCTCTGTTTCTGGCTAGGGCTGTGATCGATGACGTCTTGGCCCCACTGAATCTGGAGGAGATCTCGAGCAAGATACCGCCAAAATCCGCGGGAACCGAAACCATCCGTTCGGCTTGCTCGTTTATATCCGCCCGTCACTCGGGGGAGCGACTCCTAAGATGCTGGGGCGGTGGGACAGGGTGGGCAGTGGAAGACGCGAAAGACAAGATCTTTAAGCTTCTCGAAGAGTACGAAACGGGGGGAGTGATATCCGAGGCCTGCCAATGCATCAGGGATCTCGGGATGCCGTTTTTCAACCACGAGGTTGTGAAGAAAGCGTTGGTGATGGCGATGGAGAAGAAGAACGATGGGATGCTGGATCTGATGCAGGAATGTTTCGCCGAGGGGATCATCACGACGAACCAAATGACGAAGGGTTTCGCGCGCATCAGAGATGGCCTCGACGACTTGTCGCTCGATATCCCGAACGCGAGGGAGAAGTATAACTTCTACGCCGAGCAGGCGCTGAGGAATGGATGGCTCCTGCAAGGGTTTGATGCATCTGTAAGTCCTTGAGACACAATACAGCACCATCTACATATCTTTCTCTTTCTTATGCAAAGCTTTATATGTCTTCTATTAAAAATAAAAACATCTATATATATATATATATATGTGTGTGTGTGTGTGTAGTTGTGAGGTTGGGTTGGTAGATAAAAAAACATGAGGTGGTTGTGTTTCATGTGTGTTTTTGGAATCTGATGTGTCTTTTTTTTTTAAACGTAAGAAAGCCTCTTTCTCGTCTCTTTGTCTATGCGATTGCTGCGTAGTATGGTGTGGTCTGTGGTGTGGATGATACGAACATGGAAGAAGAGACGTGTACCATCATTCCATCATTCGAATTCTATGTTTGCCCTTTTTATGATATTTTGATTTTATTATATTTCCATTTGGATATAAAACATTTGAATGTTTTTCAAACTAAATCAGCTAATTCTAATTCAATCTGAAGCGTTGAAAAAACGGATATAATTGAATAATGGATGAAAACAAAGTTTTTTTTTAATTTGTATAGTAATACACAAATTTATAAAAAAAAAAATCTCAAATAAATATATAAACTTTAAAGTTTTCTGTTAAATAAAGAAATTGTTACTATTTTCTATATTAAACCATTAATTTTTTAAAAACAATTAAATTAAATCATTAGCTTTTTTAAGTAACTTTTAAAAATCGTAGCTCCACAAACAATCGTGGTTTTTAAAACTCGTTTAAAAGTTGAAGTTTTAGTATAAAAGTTAATAGCATTTATGTATTTTTTGAAATTTTATAATTCGCATCTTTATTTGTATTTTTTTTTTATAAATTCGTTTACTAATATGTAATTTTATATAATTAATTTTTAAAAAAGAATAAAAATATGAATAAAGTGTTGTAAATTTTTTATTAAATTAGAAAAAAATTAGATTTAAAAATAATTAAATCAAAATAGAATTGAACTGTCTAATTTTTTGGGTATGGTACCTCTAACATATAATATAATCTTTTCATATATCTCATTGACCATAATATTATGAACCACTTAGTTCAAATAATAAATGGTTTCAGACTACTTGTTTTAGGAAATATTACCATTTTACATTTTTTTTGAGATTCTAAGTCTTACATAGTAAAAAAAAATTTTGAAGATCAAATTTAGTGTTTTATAAAAAAAAAAATAAGACAAATTGTATATAAATATTTAATTTTTAAATATGCCAAATAAATATTTAAAATTTTAATTTGATATAATTGATATCACAAATATTAAAATCTAATTTTTTCTATAATATATAAAGGATTTATGTGGATAAATTTTCAAATATAGTATAGAGTATTTTTTTAAGATAAGTCGTACTACTATAATATTCATATAATTTAACGAAAATTTTCAATAGTTTTGGAATCTAAAAATTATTATGCTATTTTATAAGATGCGATATCAATTTAAATATTTTAGATTAGATAAATTAAGAATATTTATTTCACATATTTGAAAAATTATGGTGGAATTTTCAGTAAAAAATAAAGTGCAGTGGAAATGTATATAGAAACACAAAAATATCTAACCGATCTTCCGGCGGGTTAGTCATAGCCGACCCATGGACAGTACAATCCTTGTTTCCAAACATCCCAACAACTATTGCAGTTCCCAAACGTTTCTCCGTCTTCTTTGTCGTCGTCGTCGTCGTCGTCGTCTCTCTCTCTCTCTCTTCTCACTTCCGGCGAACACAAACCATCGATGGACAACTCGGAATCTGTCTCTGTAAAAGTCGAACCTATGATGGTGGACTCTCCGGCCTCCGGCGCCACCGAGAGAGCTGTACAACCTCCGAAGCTCGTAGTCTTAGCTGACCTCAATTTCAACCCTCCTGAGACCGACGATCTTGATATGTATTCAGTTCAAATCCCTGCTCCGAACACCACCAGGTACCCATCTCTTCTAGACTTCAGAGCTTTTAAAGCTCCCTCCCTTTTCTTCGCTAGCTGCTTTTCTCCACTTGTTCCGGGTTCTCTCTCTGCTCGAAACCGTGGCGGTTTTAGGTGTTGATTCTTGTCAATTCATGTTGCAACGCTGGTTTCTGAGATCGAGATTCTAACGGAGGGACTTCTCGATCTTTGATGGACTCTATTTCCATTGAATTATAGTCTTTCATGTGTCGGTTGAGTAGTATACTGGTTTATGAATGGCGTTGTAATGAAGAAGCTTTTGAAACTCGAGCACTTTTGGCTTGCTGGAAGACGGGGGAAAATGTTCTTACCTGATTGAAATTCAGTAGGATTTGATTCTTTCATGTCTGGGTAGAGGAGCTTATAGACGTGTCTGAAGTAATTAGTTTTAAGAGAGTTTTCTGATCGTTGTACAAATGTTTCATCTCTGATCATTGTTAACTGGCATCCTTGTAGGATAGCTTACTGGTAGTTCCGAAATATAATAGTTTTTTGTTGAGTTGTAGTTCGTTCAAAACCAGGGCTTGAGCTTGCTGGGTAGCAGACTTCTACGCGGTGACCCTCTGTTTATGGAGTGATTCCTTTACTCTTCTGCTGAACTGTGAATCTGTGGTATGGTGACTGGCATATTCTGTGGTGCAACAATTGCTTAGATATTGCAGTTGCTTGTCTGCTGCTGGTTTGCTACACATGTCTGAAAGTTCTAACATAAACGGATCATTTGAGTGTTCCAGGTTGACTAATGAGGAAAGCAATCAAGAAAAGAGTGTGTTAGTGTGCAAGGAGGTGGAAGCAGGGGAAGTTGAAAGTAAAAAGGTAAGCAAGGTGGGGAAATGCCGCTCAAGAAGTAAGATGGAGGTTTCGTCTGATTGTGGAGTTGATGCAGATGGTGAGCATCCGAGTCAAGGTGGAGCTCCCTCATCTCGTGAAGAAAAAGTGAGCAGCCTCAAAATGGTGAGTTTTTTCGTCTCACAGCGTGGGATTGAGCGCATTGGTCTGCCCAATACGAAGAAAAATTTTCTACAATTCAGATAGATCAATCTCGTCCATTATCTGAAATTTAAGTTGCCCATAAAAATCATAAAATGAGACATGTATTCTTCATGAAAAAACATGGGGAATGGATGATGGTGATAGAACAAACAAACGGGCTTTAAAAGCCAAAGGCTTTACTATTCTTACCAAATAGAATGAAGTAACTAAGGTTTAGCTATGTTATTTATTTTAGTTAACTATTGTTAGCCTCTTTGTTATATAGTACTTGAAGAAGAAACTTGAGGTTTAGGCTTGTCTCGGGCGACGAGTTCTCTAGAGGGAGTGGGAGGAACTCCATAATCAAATCCTCAGTTCTATGATCTCTCTATTTCTAGCAATGTATACATATTTCTACCTCTGTTCTTGGCATTTTATTGGGTTTCCCTATCTTTGCTCATAACAAATTATGTTGTGTGTCCCTTCTTAATTTATTCTGATATAACATTTTCCTGCTTTTAGGGTTTGATTCATGTTGCAAGGAAGATGCCCAAAAACGCCCATGCCCATTTTATTCTTGGACTAATGTTCCAAAGGTTGGGGCAACCACAAAAGGTAGGCTTGAGCTCATACTAAATTATATGTCTTAAAATAAGTACGCTCGTAGTGGGTTTTTTAACTTTCAGAAGTTTATAGGCGATTCCAGAATACGAGAAAGCTGAGGAGATCTTATTGGGTTGTGAGCCAGAAATTGCACGGCCAGAACTTCTTTCGTTAGTTCAAATCCACCATGGTCAGGTCTGATGATCGCTGTTTCTGTATCATTTTTGTCACATGGAACCCTTGTTATGCAAGCTCATGCATGAATTACTGATATGAAATGCTTAAAAACCTTACAGTGCCTACTTTTGGACGGTGCTGGGGATAATAGTTCTGGAAAAGAGCTTGAAGGTGAAGAGCTTGAAGAAATTCTTTCAAAATTGAAGGAGTCGATGCAATTAGATGTTAGACAAGCAGCCGTGTGGAATACTCTTGGCTTAATGCTTCTCAAAGCTGGACGTTTGAAGGTAAAATCGTTCAACACCATTGTGGTTTTTCAGATTAGCAGTTTCATTTCTTTCATGATCTAATTCTGCTGTTGGTTATTTACAGAGTGCTATATCAGTTTTGTCATCTTTGTTGCCACATGCTCCTGACAATTATGATTGCCTCACAAACCTTGGAATTGCTTATCTTCAAATGTGAGGACCTTTTCTTCTTCTTTTTCTCGGCTTTTTCCTTTTTTATTATGTTGTCTTTATTTTTGTGGATATTTTGCTGAATGATGATGATCTTCCAGTGGAGAGTTTGAGCTCTCGGCAAAATGTTTTCAAGATTTGTTACTGAAAGATCATAGCCATCCGGCTGCTTTGATGAATTATGCTGCCCAGCTTCTCTGCAAATACGGTTCAACTGCTGCTGGTTTGCTTCTTACCCTAGACCCTAAACACACATACATATACACATACAAATAGAAGGCCAAGCAAAAAAAAGTGGTCAAAAGCATTGATTTTCGCTGTTACGAAGATGACATGTGAAAAAACATGGGCGATTTTTAACTGATTTTCAGGTGCCGGAGCGAAGAG